TATGTATCTCACGTAGGAGTGTCAATCGTGTCGGGTTAAACGGGTGACAGGTAAAAAACGTATAAACTCATACACGACACGTTTAATAAACGGATAAAAAATCTCAACGCGAACACAACCCGTTTAATAAACGGGTAACACGAAACGACTCGTTTAATTTTAAAAAAATTATATCAACAAATTGTAATACTTCATTTTTTTTACTACTAATTGCACTTACCTCAAAAAAGAGGAATTTTAAATCAAATCTCATAAAAATAAGATTTGAAGGCTTTAAAAAAAACACACAAGAGATTATTATCTTTCATAGACAACTCACCCTCCCCATCTCCCCTCATTTTTTAACGTGGGACAAAAATAAAAGGCATTGGTTTGCCTTTGTCTTTCAAGTGCTTTATAACTCCTCTCATTTGTCTTTGAAAAATAAGACTTGAAAGCTTTAAAAATAAAAGCAAGAAGTCATTGTCTTTTATAGACAACTCAACCCTCCCCATCTCCCATTATTTTTCAATGTGGGACAAAAATAAAAGACATTTGTTTGCCTTTGCCTTTACCTTTAAAGTGCTCTCTAACTCTTCTCCTTTGTCTTTAAACTACTATTTTACTTTTTTTTTTTATTGATTTTTTTACTTCTTTTTTTTGGCTAATTTTTTTAAATAATTATTAATTTATTATTATATTAATTTTATTTAAACGGGTAAACGTGTGATAAACGGTTTGACAGGTCTCACTCGAACACGACCCGTTTATTAAACGTGTTTGACGTGTCAACCCGTTTATCACCCAAACCCGTTTAATTCGTGTCGATTCGTGTTGGTTAATCATGTCATGTCGAATTTTGACAGCCTTAATCTCAGGTGATTTTATTTTATGTCATTTTGGTCCCTCAAGTTTGCAAGATATCATTTTAAGGAAAAAAAAAAAAGTTCTCAACTGTGATTACGTGAGATGCACGTGATCATCTCCATTAGTTAATTTAAACTATCATTTTCAATTGAATCAAAGTGAGATACAATTAAAAGATTGAGAACCAAATTGATACAATACCTATAATTTGAGAACTAAAAAATAGATTGTGCCCTTTTTTTATTTATTTAAAAATTAAAGAGAAGTCTAATCCCTTAAGTAACATAGCATCCATCCATATTTGAGGAGATTTCTTAATAACTAATCAAATTAAAATTTATTATGAATTTTATGTACTCGGATCGAAGTTCCGATCGTCAATGGATTCAGTTGTGGACTGGTTTGCTCCTTCGGAATTTCGGGCCGGATGGGGAACACATATTCGATCCGAGAATTTTAAGTTTGGAGGCCCAAGATCTTCTTTTGGTTATGGACTTATGGGCTTGTAGCTAATCCGGCTCTCGACTTAATTTCGCCGATTTTGTGAAGGCAGTGCACGAATTGGAATACTGTACTCGATCGGTTGGTGTGAGAGAGGGTCAGAGAGAGATGGGCGGAGGCTATGGGGGAGATGGATACAGCACTACATACAAAGGCGTGACTCTGCATCACCCGAAGCGTTGGCATGCTGTCACCGGGAAGGGCATGTGCGCCATCATTTGGTAATCTAATCCCATCATCATCTCTCTCCCTCACTCATCAATATCTTCTTAATTATCGCGTTTGTTAGACCCAGTTTGAGTTTTATTGTTGATTCGTGTATGTTATCCGCTTTGATATGCATGCTTTGTTTAAATTGCTCTTATTATGGTTTTCAAATAGGATTGGCGATCTAACACTGAGAGGTGGTTGATGGATATTCGAGGGTAGCGGAATTGATTGTTTTGGTTTAGCTAATTTCCGCCCTTATGTGTTCAGGTTTTCAATCAGAGACCCTTTTCTTGACCATGTTTTGTAATTTCTTGCTATTTCTTGTTTTACTTCGGCAATCAAAGCTCTTTTCTACTGGTTTTCCTTGAAAGAAATAATTTTTTGAGAAAGAGTGTGTTATTGTGTTGAAATTGGTGGGGGTGGGGGTGTTTTATGTGGACGAAATCCAAAATTAGAAGTTAAGAAGTGTCTTGATGAGACTGAAGGACTCCATGAAAGCCTTACTTCACCTCATGGTCATGCTAAATTCTGGTGTGTAGTACTGGAATTGTTTTCTTGTTTTTTCACAAGAATATTGATTAGTGTCTTATTGCACGTTATATTGGTGACGCCAACTTTAAAACTATGGTTTCAAACTTCAACTATATACTTTTGTTCACATTCAAGAAGATAACGGATGGGAGGAGATGAAAGGGAGGGCGGAAAGAGAGCCAGAACCGAGGAACTAAGTTGAAGAGCACGAGCAAATGACAAGTCCTAAAATATCAGTGGCATTATTCAAGCAGACAATCGAACCTTAATCCTTAAGTTGTGTCTTTGACTGAGTAGAAATAGGGAAGAGTCATTTGGATTGGTGACTTGGTGTATGGGAAAGTGAGGAAACTGAAGATAGAAGAGAGAATTGTAAAATTAAATCGAATGACGTAATTTTAAGTGTAATTTTTTGATTAATGAAAGACTCCACTTATGTTCACAAATGTAGAAGTATCTCAAAATTTGTAAAAACATTTCAATGGAGGCAAGTTTTAAAAATTTAAAAATTTTAAATAAACCCCCAAACTTTTTAAACTTGCAATGGGGCAGGTGCCCCCCAAGCCCACACCCCTAAGGCCACTAGTGCAAGGTACCAATGCTTAGAAAATAAAATAAAATTGATGTTGGAGTGGGACAAGCCTGTTTAGCAGGGTTATAGAATGGAGGTCACCGGGTTATGGAGGTCAGGGAGTTACGGTTGCGATTTCTTTTTCCTCATTAGTTATCCAACATGTATGCATGCATCTTTGTACACATGCGTTCCTGCTCACATGTGTATCACAATGCCAGTGGACTAAGTTAAAACTTTGTTGATTTGATATTTCAGGTTTTGGGTAATGTATAGGGCTATGCAAGATGGTCCTGTGGTATTGGTGAGCTTCGATTTCTTTCCTTCTTTCATAATTGTTGAGCTCCTTTTTATATTCGTTTGCTTTGATTTTTTTACTTGGTTTTTGTGTCATTTAGGGCTGGCGGCATCCTTGGGAAGGCCATGAAGATCACTCCCATGGACGTGGATATGGACATGAGCATTAGGTAATGGTTGGATTCTGGTTCTTATTAAATGGTCATAATAAACAACACTTGTTGATCAATGGTTATACTATTACTGACTAATGAGTAACATGCTACTTTTATATTCATGGATTGTAGGATACATGATGTAAAAATAGTCCATGTGCAATAGAGAGAGTGAAGAAGATCTCAGTTTTCTGTTTTATATTGTGGTATGCACATACATGAAATTCGCAATATGGTTTTCCTAGAATGTTTTTTATTGCCATGATTATTGTTTCCAAAGCATCTTTTGTTTGTGGAGGGATTCTATGTGTGGCGCTTCTAAACCCTGCCCATGTGTTTTTGGATGTCTATGTTGCACCATATCTGGTTGAAGCCAAGAGTAAATTGGCAAAATTCTATTTTTTTCAATAATTGACAGTATCTATATATATACTATTTATATTCTTCCAGTCTAAATTGGTCCCTTGAATATTAATATTAGTGCTTTTCCTATCTCCCTCCTCCAAAAGTGACCTATTGAACCAAACCATGACTTGTTCTATCATTAGAGTATAATAATTCTAATGCTCATTAAGAAGGTGCTCGCTCTCTCCCCCCCCCCCCAAAAAAAAAAAAAAAAAGAATGAAAAAGATAAAATGAATAATACTTTGTTGTTTCAGATGGTCCATTGAAGAGCTAAAAGAGAGAGCATAAATCAAGATGCTGGTATGAATGCCATTTGGGATATCTTAGATGATTTCCATGCAAATAAAAATGCTTGTGAGAAGGAGATTGCAGTTTGTGTAACCATGTTTTTCTTATGCTTGTCAGTGTTCAGTGTTCGTACCCATGTGTTGACCAAATAATGGTTTATATTTTGGTGACAACAATGTGATGAAAATGAACATAGAAGAAGCTTCCTCTGTTTTTATTCAATTGCATTGCTGCATTGACATATTTCCTGTTTTTGACACTGCCTTCAAACTACCTTTTCTAGTACCAATTTTTTTTGTCTACATTCCGAGATAGCCTTAGAGTGAGGGTGTACCTTGGAGTAGCAGTGAGGTTGCTCTGATTTGGGCGTCAGTTTGATGTGCGGAAGCAACCTCCATATGCGGGGTTAAAACTTCATACATCTGACCTCCCTAGAATCAAAGATCGTGTTAGACTATTGTTTCAAACCCCCCTCCCTTACACATTCAACTTTTTGCAAGGTTGGCCCTTTATGCAATTATTACACTGATTGAAGTCTCTGGTATTGACCTTTTTAGGTAATATTAAATCATTTTATAATTCTGTCAAAGAACTAGGCATTTTTTGCAGTATTAGTCAAGAGTTTAGGCTCAGGTTAGTAGATATTTGTGTTTGCTAAGGCTGCTTAAACTGTGATTCTGATAGGTTTGTGGCATCTGAAATTTGTGCTTTACCATGAGTCCAACCAAATAGCTTGTGGTTTGGATGGTTATCCATTATCGCAGTGAAACATTAAATATAAAATGTTTTGAAGAAGTCAAAACACTGTTTGCGCTTGGGGCCAAAAATCTTCAAGCCAAACCTAGGTTCGAAGCAATAGGCGCATAGAATATAGGGTTCGTTTTTGTGCTGGCGGCCAATAACTTGAGTTGATCCAGCTACCTTATAAAAATTCTTTGTAAGAGACTGATAAAAAGCAGAGTCTTCATTTGCATGAGCAATGGTATAATTTTAGTGCTGTAAAGTAGTGTATGAAACTCCAATTTTATTAAGAATAAATGAAAGAATACAGTATGGTCAGTTTGATTGTCTGAAATTTTGTCTTAAGTCGACAATTTATTATTTTTATGGTTCTGCAGCTGAGCTGTAACCGATGAACCTGGGCAAGCAGCCCTTTAAGATAGTGGGTTGCCAATTGGTGGTGTTGCTATGTTTTCTAGCTGGTGAGGATGTTAAGGAGTGAAACTCTTGTTTGGATTAAGCGTCTGAATATGCACTCTAACTCAACTTCAAATTCTTCAATGGCAATCTCTACGGCCTCCAATCTTTTATTTGCAATTTGGAGTGCCGTGGAGTCACTTTTTTCCCAGGAACTCAGGCTGTTTACGCACGTGAATTTTGGTGCAAAGGATCTTTTATTTGATTTTCTGTTAGAGCTGGGCATGGACATGAGTGACATCAGTGTCTCAATGATAGACATAGCAGTCATCCTCACTTCTTTTAGCACGTGAACGACCACAGTAAGATTGCATTCTTTAGGAAAGAGGTCTGAGGTAGTGTATTTGTTCTTCATTCCGTTGATTGAGTGCAAGTGCTTCAACATTTCTTTCTTCAACCTCTTCCTGTGGTGATGGTAAGCTGCAAATTTACCTTCTACGGCTGTCTTGCCTATGCTTATCCTACGAAATGTAGACTGAAGGTCTTGAAGGTGATCTTTGACAAACAGAAGGACATCTTTGGTGTTGCTACACACTTCCAACATTCTCAGTGATGCTTCTGAAACTTGATGAACCCAATTTTCTTGTTGATTGTGGACAAGAGATTGCTTGGTTAGTGGCGAATGGAGCAAATCATTGGCCGAGTTATGTGAGTCTCTGAGAGCATCAAAATTAGGGCGTGCCATGGATGAGCAAAAGAAACAGAGGAAGGATATGAAATGGTACTGTCGTACAGAGTGATGGTCTTCTCTAGTGAATAGTGATGAATATACATACACTAGAGGCTAATCACCCTATCATCCATTTATAGTTAAGCTTAAGCCAGTTTGCCACATGGTAGATTAGATCTGAGATCTCTCAAGGAAAGGGGAGGTGAAGTATCCTTTCTTGTACGGGCTATTCAATTGTCAATTACAAAGGGACAAAATGTGTTTGTGGAAAGCTTCAATGCACACACACAGAGAGACAGAGATAAAGAGAGTCAGCGGCAATACGGTTTTTAAGACGGTGGTGATGATATTACTGGTGGATTAATATGACACAGCACAGCATGTACATGATCGAGCCAAGCTGGTGTGAATAATTTATAACATGCAGACATATTCTGATAACGGGGCTTTGTTTTCTGTGTGTATAAGACAATTCTTTGGTGAGACTGAAGCATGCATATGGAGGAGTTTCCACGAAATTGGTAAGATAGTCGAGACCTTCTGATCTATCCTACAAAATTTTTTCAAGTGTAAGTTACAATTTTAAAGGGCATAATCGATTATAAAAGTCTAAGATCAATACTGACAGTTCATGATCAATCATTGTTTTTTCTTGAGCTGTTACGATTTCTTCTTTCAAAATTGTAATTTTACAATAAAAATTGATAACTGATAGTATGGTACCGAATTTTTTTTTTTTTTAATACCTTAGACTATTTCTATGAAGAAAAACAATTAGCAGCATTATTCCAAAAGGGCACTCCTACGGCTACAATCCAAGTCCATTCCTCTTTGACTTCTGTACTAAACACAAAGTTAGAAGTTTAGACTTCAGAGGCGCCAACCACCCAATACAGACTCCTACTTTACATTGTCAACCATACCTTATATACAACTTGGGTTTCGAATTGTCATTATAGTTGGCCAAAAGCTGACCATTAACTTTCTCTTTCTTTATCAACAACCGCCACCACCGGCAGTCCAACTCCAAGAAGGGAGAGAAAGAGAATAGGGTCCACACAACCGACTAGAATTCTACATGGTATTAGGTTGTAATTGAGGATTTTATATACCATTGGTGTCAAAATGGAGGTCATTTTCTTTACGAGTTGTATACGTAAACAACTAGTAGCAGGACCAACCAATCTCTTCCCATTAATATTCCCTCATATCAACACCCAAATTTATGGAAAGCATATGACCACGTGAGAAGACATTTGCCAAAATTTTCTCACCATACATCTCAAGGAGTCAAGAGTAGGCGCCATACCGACAGTGTAGCAGGCCTTTATCCCACTTCAAACCTTTATTTTCCAATTCTTATACTTTTAACCTTTTTTTGAACCTACTTATTGGTACTTCTCCTTGCATATTTTACTTCTTCTCTAGTAAAAATATAATACGTGTAAATTTATTTTATTTTATCTTTTGTCTACACTTTTTTATTTTCACAACATTCGATGGTTTATGATTAAATCAAAATAAGATTTACAATTACAAATCATTTTCACTATGGTAACAAAATTTATTTACAAGTTATTCTAACTAGTTCAATTGTTAATGTAGAGTATGTGGCAGCTAATTATTTGGAGTAGGAATGTCGCCATGCGTCCAAAATTAACGAAAAGCAAAAAGGTGATAGTAGACTAGAGATAAAATGGGTCAGACTTGGAATTGGTGGAGAGGTGGTGTTTGATCCGGATCCAACCAACAATCAAGTCTCATTGTTATGCCATGAACTCCTTCAAATTTAGGTTGAATTCCATCGTTTAAGTTCTCAAAATCTAATTTTTGTCATTTTAGGAAAAAAAATTTGAAAATTAATAATAAATCATAAGAGATTTCGAATTCAGTGTTGTCGTTTTTGTTAAACTCTAAACAATACGTGTTTTTATGTTAATTAATTAGATTATAATTTTTTATATTTGAAAATTTTCGTATAATTAGTAAATTTACCTCTATTATGGGGACGATTCTCTTATGTAATACCAATTATTTATTGAATGATATATATATTTTAGAAATATTCTCTTGTTTCTTTCGCTTTGAATTTAGAATATCTTTATTATATACATTTAAAAACAGTATTTTATTTGTGTTCCTTGTTCCGCTGCATCAAGGGTGGTATCAAAATGAGTTTGATAGATGTAAGATCTCATCAAAACCCCACTAAATTTCACTGCAGTCGTTGCAACCAATAAAAAGTGATGAAGGGGAAGGGGAAGGGGAAATTTAGGAGAAGACGAGTGGTTCTTTATGTCTTCTGTCTGTCTTATTCAGAGGAGTCAATTAAAGCTGCTAGAGGGAATGAGAGTTGGATCGAGGAATTAATGTGGTTTATTCATTATCCTTTTCTTGTTTATTTTTACCTGACCTTTTGTGTGTTGGTGGTTAGGATGGTGGTCTTAGTCTACTGATTAGAATTTTGAACAATAGTCCTAGTTTCTTTTGAAAACCATTCTGCTACTCGTCAACGATCTGGCAAATAATTAAAAATAGTAATTCATATCTAGGGTTTACAAGGGTACCAAATCACTGTGCTAATGGACACTTTCTTGTTCCTTTCTCGGATAAAACGAGCAGTCTTAGTAAATAGTAATGGTCAAAATTGTACTGCCTGCTGTTCTATCTAACCAAACCTGCTTAAGCAAGGACACCATTGAGTACTCGACATTTGAACACTGTTATGAATACTGTGTAGGCGTCCAATTATTATTGTTCTTCATAATCACCCCGCCGGTAATTAACTGTGCCGCACATCATTGCTTTCATGAGCAATCGAGGATTAAATATATGTAGTTCTATTTTCACGTACAAAGAGACTTTTGATGATATGTACCATTAAACTCAAATCACAAATATGTTGGCAAATAGGCAATAGAAACAAAACTATAGATATATAGAGTAACTGTTTGTGGAAAAAATTCTTGTACCTTACTTTGACGACTAGGACTTTGAGTTGACTGGAAAAACGAACAAGGTTGCACCACTGTTCCTAAACACGAAGTTGTTAGAGACTTAGAGTTGGTAGATGCTTAAGTCAGTATGAACTCAAACAATAAGGGAATTAGAAGGGATAAAAGTGCATGCATTTGATTCAAGCATTTCCCAATATTTATAGTGTTGTCGGCGCCCTTTTTGTTAGGTTTCTGTAATTGATTATATTATGTGACACACCTAATTTTTAGCCGAATCATTCTTGATTGATGCTGAAAATCTCTCTCTAACTTATTTTCTCATTTGCCTAACTCTTAAGACATGCGCATGTTCACCTATCATTTCGGCAACGATCTTATCAGTTTAGTTCTACCCATGATTTTTAGAATAGTCTAGCTATCTTGTGACTTCTTATGGTAGACTACCTGTAAACTCTGTTTAATCTTGTCTTTACCTTGGTTATGCTAATAGCTCGGTCCATTTATCTGAACATTTGACCTATTTGCTCGATTGTATGTTGTGAATTATGAAAAATGTATTCAAGTGGATTATGATTATATTCCCCTACTCAGTTTAGAATTCAAAAATGTCACTCTTAGTTCAAATGATGTGGCTAATCAAGGCAACCTATTTTACTACGTCATTTGAACCATGAATTTGATCACGTTTGCATTTATGATTCTGATATGAATGTTAATTATGTTTATAAGCTCCAAGTCCACAGGAATCACAAGTGGGATCCATGGCTTTTAGTGGGTCCCGTTTCGAGGAATAATAGGACGGCAATGAAGAAGAAAATTGGAATCCGGGAGTTATCTTCTGATTCCTCAAACACGTGGCAAAATAGGATTCCAATAGTCATTCAATCACCATTGGTGTTTTTCTTTTCGGAATTTCCATTTATAGCTGTTGTTTGGCGTTCCTTTTCTGTATCGGGACACCCAAGAAAAACACGGTAAATTCCCTCTGAGAGATGTCAATCCAACCAAACAGCGAATAGAGACATAGAGTCCTCCTCACACACACACACACACACACAGATGGAGGAGAAAGCAGTGAAGTCGAGGTTCAGAAGGGTTTGTGTGTTCTGTGGAAGCAGTACCGGCAAGAGAAATTGCTACAAAGATGCTGCTCTTGAATTGGGCAAAGAGCTGGTAGACACAAAAAAGAAAAAACCTTAGCTTCACATGAATCACATAATATAGTATAAACATCTATATGCAAACATAAATTCTGTTTCTTTATTTAGAAGGCGCTATCTAAGCCTAGTTATCTTGGGTTTTGGTTGAGTGAAGGTCTCAAGGAGATTGGATCTTGTTTATGGCGGGGGCAGCCTTGGATTAATGGGCTTGATTTCTCAGGAAGTCCATCGTGGTGGAGGGCATGTCTTAGGGTATAATTTCTAGTCATGATTCAGCTAGCAATGTTGTTTACCAGGTTTTGCTTTTAAATTTTCAGATTTTTTTTTGGTTGACTTTTCACCTTTGTTTGTTGTTCTCGCAGGATCATCCCCAAAACTCTAATGTGCAAAGAGGTATATATTATTAACATATTCGCATGTGGGTTGTTAATTTATTTCTTTGATTATATCTGAATCTTTTTAATTTCTTCTGTGTGGCTAGATAGGTATTCCCCATTATCAAAGATATGTATTATGCTTCAGTACTTTTCGTTTATGAAGCAGATAACTGGTGAAACTGTTGGTGAGGTACGACCCGTAGACAACATGCACCAAAGGAAAGCTGAGATGGCCCGCCATTCTGACTGTTTTATTGCCTTACCAGGTTTCTGTCTCACTCTCACTCCCACTCATCCGGATTATCAAACAGATTTTAATCCTGTACCTACATAATTAGGTGGTTATGGAACATTGGAAGAGTTATTAGAAGTCATAACATGGGCCCAGCTTGGGATTCACGACAAACCTGTAAGGTCACTTCATCATGTCTCTCTAATAGTAATAGTATTGTGGATTGGCTTAATTTGGGAGCTCTTCATTCATTCATCCCAAAATCAGCAAATTCCTTCAGCTGATCTGAGTTGAATATATCATTTGCAGGTGGGTTTGCTGAATGTAGATGGGTATTACAACTCCCTACTGACCTTCATAGACAAGGCAGTGGATGATGAGTTTATCAAGCCCTCTCAGCGCCACATCATCGTCTCGGCGCCAACCGCTGGGGAGCTTGTTCATAAACTTGAGGTACTGCACAGGCCATATCATACATATCATTCATTTTTGTGACACCCATATTGATTTGGCAGTCTCAAAAATCAAAGTTAATTCCACTCGACTACGGTACTAAAAAAAGTTCGATACCATACCTCTAAATTTTACTACATTAATGAGAGTTTTTATGATTATTACAAGTCATTTTACAAAAAAAAAAAAAAATTGTCATTTTTTTTGGTATTTTTACGACTATTGTGTCAACTATTTTTATCACTTTTTTTTATACGAAAAACATTACTAATTTTGTGGGTGATTTACTACTATTGTATTAACTATTTATTACCATTTTTTTTTTGGTATCACAATAATGATAAAAAAACTCAAAAAATGATAAATATCGATTAGGTACCGAAATATATATATATATTTTGGGTAAATAGCGTTGACAACTCCAAGTTAATTGGGTCCATTGTTTTGGATTGGTTAGGAGTACGTCCCTGTGCATGATGGAGTAGTGGCCAAAGCAAGGTGGGAGGCTGAACAAGTGGAGCACAATGCAGCGTTGCAGTCTGAAATAGCGCGTTAGGCAGATAGTATTTTGGGTTTCCACTTTCTCGTTTTCAAATTTGTATTTATTGTTAGCAAACAAAAAGAGAGAAAGGTGGAAATTGGTAGAACAGATTGTTAGCCTGATTGTATGGAAAAATTATATATGGAAAAGTGCAAAATTTTCTTCTCATATTGTTCTGTATAGAAGGCAGTGAAATCAATAAAGAAAAATCGATAATATAGAACGTAATTGATTTTAATAAATTTATCTAACGGTCTCAAATCGATTCATTTAAATGTCATAAACATTCTTCTCAAAATCATTCACATTAAATTTTCATTCATATTAAATTTTTCCCCACCTCAAATCTATTATTTTTCACTTATGCTATATCGTGCCTTTAAGTTGGGGCAGCTCAAGACATTTTGGGGTTCAAAACGAAAACGATAAGTGAGGTTTTTTTTTAATATTAAAAATAAATCTCATTTTTAATTTTTTTAATACAAAAAATATTATTTAAAATTTTATATTCAAGCTTTTATTATCATATTTGAACTTAATGGTAAGAGAGAAAGAATAATTAAAAAATTATGATGATAAATTTAAACTTGACTTTTTTGAAAGTTAAAATATATTTTTTTTTAGTAGTTTTAGTTTTACTGTTAGTTTTATTTTCTTTTTTTTTTTTGTTATAAAAAAAAAATTAAGACCTTTTAATTTCACGGTTGAATTAATAGGTACAATCTATTTATGTTGAAATCTTTTGTAGGGCATAGATTTAAATATTGTATTTGAATAATTACTGTACACCTATAAATTACTATGCCTTCTTTGAACTTAAATTTTTTTTTAATTGAACTTATATTTTTATAAGATTTTTTTGTAGGGTTTAAAATATATATAAATTTATTTTTTTTATATGAATTATTTATGACATCTATAAATTTGGAGCCTTCTCTAAAAATGGGACCTAAAATCCCAATTTTTTTAACAAAATTGTTGAGCCACCCCTAGCTTCAGACATGGATTACGGTCGGTGAAAAATAAAACGCAGCATTTCTTTAGCATGGGTGATATGGTGGGTGAGGTTAGCTCCTCGCATATGTTACTTGACAAAACAGTCCCATCTGTACCTCAAGGAGTCCTATGCTTGAATGGTCCTTTCCTTAGTGTCAGTGTCGGGTTGGTCCACTTACTCAAATGTCTGTGAGAGTGAGATTGTTGTATAATTATAGTTAAAAAATATATCGTCCCAATGAATCATTTATAATCATTATATAAATAATTATTATTATATATATTTTTTATTAATTTTATTTATATATTAATCATTTTATATTGGATACACTCATTTATGAAATAGATAACTTAAAAAATATTTAAATCTTCTAATTTTATATAAAATTAATAAATCGTATTATATTTTAATACTCCTACATTAGGCCATTAATGAGAAGACACTATGGCTCAAAAGCAACCGCGTACCGGGGAAAAAAAATCCTATTAGATTTGTTCATAACTTTGAAGTATGCAGCATTGGGTGTTAGCATGCATCAAGAGAAATCGTTTGTTAAGCTTTCACTTCCTTCAAAGAATTTACGCATGAATGATGGATTATCAAAATTTAGAAGTTTCATAAGTTTGTCGGCAGCTTTCATTTATCAACAGGGTAGCAATAGGACAGCCCATTGGTATGGTGGAACCTACATTTCATGATAGTACGCATGGGTGTATTTAGATAACCGGCAATAATAACAAAGGATAGGACTTTTTGTTTTTTTAATCTATCCCATTCAAACCCAATCAGCCACTTAATTGGATAGGTTATGTTTGCTATTCAATCCAAATCATTGTTTGGCAAGGAACAATTCAATTGTTTGGCAAGGAACAATTCAATTTCATGAGTGATTAACCCTAATTAAGACATAATTTAATAGATATATTGTGTTAGTTGAATAAAGTTAAACTAGTCAAAATAAATCAAATTAGTATTAGTGTGTGAATAAAAGATAATACATTAATTGTTGTTCTTTTCAGAATTTTATGCGTCAGAGCTACAAACTACTGATGTGCCAATTATCAAAGCTCAAAACAAAGGGGGATCAAAGAATTCAAGACCACCATACAAGACTTTTATGTAATTCAAGGTCACCTAACAAGACTTTCATGTAATTCAAGGCCACCTAATTAGACTTTTATGTAATTCAAAGCCACCTAACAAGACTTTCACCCTCTCTTGTTGCCTATAAATACCACCCCTTAGGACTTGTAAAACATTCATCTTTTGGTAGTGGAAAACCCTCCAAAAGTATTATTGATTTCCTTATTGCTTATTATTTTTTTTAAGTTTTATTTTCTTTTATTGTATTATTGGTTTCTTTTACTTTAAGTATTGTTTTCTTTTATTGTGTTATTGCTTTCTTTTACTTCAATTGCTTGAACTTCTTTCTTTCCTTAGAGGAGTGAAACTCTTCCACTTTTCTAGAGTTTTACCAAAGTCGTGAAGGGTGGAACATGATTCACTCATTTTTTGTTGAAGATCGGCTCCTTGTGTAAAGTGTTTTACCTTGTAACTCCTCTACTTGGAGGGATGAACATCACTCACTTTTCTAGCTTTAACAAAGTCATGAAGAGTGAGTAGTTTTTCATTCAATCTTTAGCAAGAGTTGATTATCCGAAAGTTATATTTATGCATTTCGTTTATGCTTAGCTCTAGTCTTTATTTCTTTATAATGTTTTCTCATCATATTGTTGTCTTTATTTTAAGCATGAATAGCTAAATCTCTTAGTTGGCAAAACTAAGAAGAACCTCCACTTGGGTATACCATTTCAACTCATTCTCCTCCCCTCTTTCAGAGTTCAATGGTTCGGTTTGACTGGGTTGAGGGTGGATAACTTGGTGAGTCTTTGATATTTCGTAGGCCTAGTCACGGTTTATGCTTAGATACTCACCAATCTTTTTCCTAGCTTCCCACGAATCAATCATTCATTCATGCTCTATTGGAGGAGGGTTTCGAGTTGAGACGGTATTCCTATTGGAGTGACCTCTTGAATTTGTCAACATTTGTTTCTCATTTTACTAGTATCAAAAAAACTTCACCAAACAACTTCTAACAATCAAAGATTTTACACTTTCTTTCTCCCAAAATTACCTTCCCTTCGGTTTACTTCCTTCCCCGTGGAAACGATCTTGGAATACCACCAAGTAAAACATGATCCGCGAAAGTCTCCTTGCGCTTGGGAAGCACTTTTGTTCACACATACTCACATTTGACATTTCATTCATCTACCATTATGTTGCTCTTTCTTTTGACATCATCCCTAAGAGAGTGACATTCTCCTTCATTCATATACTATACATGCTAAAAGGTGATGTTTAGAGGTTAAGAAACAACAAAAAATTTTGTTAAGCATTTTTGGCGCCGTTGTCGGAGAAGGCAAGTGTCAAACAAAGAAAGTGAGTTCCGGACGACGGAGGTAAGTCCCATGATCTTCATCATGGATTGAGGGTCGTTGTTCCGTGTACATAATCTTGTTTGTGTATAATTTTGTTTGTATATATTTTGTTTTATGTGGAGGCGAAACGATCGAAATCGACTTGTTATTTTGGTTTAGTTTACACCTTTATAGTTTATCTTTTCCATATACTATCGAAGGAGGTGCAGATCAGTCCACTGTCCAAACAGTTGAGTATTATCTCGTAGAGTTGAATTCAGTCCGAAGTAGTTCAATGAAGTTAGTGTGATATTACTCAGGTTGTATATCTGTTAATTATGTATTTAGTTTTAATAAGTGAATGATACAGGTTGAGTGTTTGTACAATTATTTGTCGGGTTATATATTATATTGAGTGACATATTATTATAGCAGGTTAATAGTGTATAATTGTAAACAGACTCAACAAGTATAATTTCTAATATATGCTATGTGAGTGTGAAATTTTGTATATGTATATGGCTTGGAAAAAAATGATATATGTGTAATATTATCCAAGTTATGAGTCAGATGTTACCATCATGCTTAATGACTAAGGTTATAGGCGGTGTTGTTGCACCTGTAAGATTATTTTGTGTTTTATTAATCCAGATTACATATGTAAACAGGTGTATCAAAAACCTAGTTGCGTCTCATCCTTGGGAGATCGAGATGGAGCGTGACAAGTCAGTTGGCATTTGAGCCACAAATCACAATACATTTTCTCTATTTAGATTGCGTACCTTAGTCTAGCTTCTTGAGGGGTATTTATATCTGAGTTTGCAATGATGGCAGCGCCCCTAAGTCTCATCTTAGAATTTAATAGTCTGCACTCATATCCTAGTATAATGAGTGTCATTCCATCAAATCCTCTCAAGACCAGCCTCCTCATGCGAGTGGACCTTTGCTCGGGAACCACCAAACATTCTTGGTCCAACCCTTGGTCATTAATACCTCTTTTCGATGCTTGACACCTACACTCGAACGTTCATTAGTCGAGAACAAGCACCCTCGGGGTTGCCCAAGGACTTCATGTTGGCGTAATAGCTATTAATGCCTTCTAATGATGACTGTCTCCACATTTTTCAAAGACTTGGACATTCATTAATAACTTTGTTTTAGCCACTTAAGACCTACATTAATGAATTGTCAGATCGTTTTTAAAGCAAGGCTCTAAGTGGGCGTACTTGGCCCTCTCCAACATAACTCCTTGACACCTCTACCAGGCCTGTTTTGCACACTCTAACGGCTTTAACTGCCCACGTGTTCATTCATTACTGTCAAACAGCCTAAAGTCTCGTTAATACTATAGATAAGTTCGTTATTTAACTTAATCTTTTAAGTTGGCATTGTCCCTATATGTAATAATATGAATGAACATGTATGAGAGGTACCATTCTACTCAAGGGAATACGTTTGATTTTGTCTCATGTTAACATCATTATGGGAGGTGTTTGACTCCTTAAGTCATGGAATAATTGAACTTATATTATTCTTGACCTAAGGTATTCAGAGTCAACAATTGGCAGTTTTGAACCACATTATGCCCTTTGAATTAGTCGAGCTGATTGATAATAGAATAGCTTTAGCTACAATAAATTTTTTCCTCAAATCCATTAACATGTTATTTCAAGTATTCAACTAGATAAAATTCTTGTTTTGCCAATTCAAATAAAGGATATTCTGT